TTAGAGAGAATCATTGATTGGCTGCCTTCGTAATGCCCCACACTGGGGATTGAGCCCATAACCTAGGTGTATGCCCTCACCAGCAATTGAACTGTGACCTCCTGGTACATAGGTTTACACTCAACCACTGAGCTCTTCTGGCCAGGCTCAATTTTTAAAGTTTCCTGTTTCATTGGGTATCTCCTTGTTTTTTATATTTGTGATTTCTGCCTTTCTCCTTTTATTGGTTTAGGTAGTGGCTTATCTATTTTGTTGATTTCTTTTTAAAGAATCAGCGTTTTGATTTATTAATTTCTACTGTTTTTTTTTTTCTATTCTCTACCTCATTCTTTTTGTTTTCAACTTTATTTTTCTTATATGTTTGCTATACTTCATTGGCTTTTCCTGCTTTTTAAGATGGGAGCTTAAAGTATTGATTTTTATTCTTTTTGTTGTTGTTGCTGCTGCTGCAAGAATTAAGGCTATGGATTTTCTGTGATCACTCTATTGATTTTGTTTCCATTATGATTCTTTTCTTTCTTTCTTTCTTTCTTTTTAGAAATTTACACAGTTAAAATTCACCCCTTTTGTCCTGAGAATTGGTTAATAGAAAAATTTTAAAGTTCTAACTGGAATTTCTAGTTTTAGAAAAAGCAGAGGGTAAAACAGGGACATAAAGATGCTTGCTCCACTTTAGGTTTGCAAACTTTTCATTTTGAATGAAATTAAGAAATTTGATTTTTACCTGAAACTGCATTAAAAGTTTTTCCATTGCAAGGCACTATTTCTTTTCTATGAGTGATCAGAATAGCTATGGAACCTACCCAAGTTTCCAACCAAGGACACGAAAACAATAGATTTACTGAGCAAATTACTGGAGTGATGAGAAACAATAAAATTCATGTGTGATTGCATCTAGGAATTTTGTTAGCTTTTACTTAATTAATTAATGTATTTATTCATTTATATATATACTAGAGGTCCGGTGCACAAAAATGTATGCACTTGGGGGGGAAGGGGGGTCCCTCAGCCCGGCCTGTGCCCTCTTGCAGTCTGGGACCCCTCGGGAGATAACGCTCTGCTGGCTTAGGCTGCTCCTGGGTGGCAGAGGGCAGGCCCAATCCCTAGGTGCAGCCCCTGGTCAGGCTCAGAGCAGAGCCCATTGGGGAGTTGGGGCGCCGCCCCCTGTCATGCACAGAGCAGGGCGGATCGGGAGGTTGTGATGCCACCCTCAGTCACACTCAGGGTAGGGCCGATTGGGGGGTTGGGGCACCGTCCCCTGTCACACTCAAGGTAGGGTCCATAGGGAGGTTGTGGCCCCACTCCCTGTCACACACAGAGCAGGGCCCGTGGGGGAGGGGGGGTTTGGGCGCCACACCCTGTCACACAAAGAGCAGCCGGGCAATCAAGGGTTGGGGAGCTCCCCCCTATCAGGCACAGAGCAGGGCTGATCAGGGGGTTGGGGCGCCTTCCCCTGTC